CAGCATTCAACACAATAGCTCTTGGGTGTGAACAAGTCAAAATTATACCAATTTTTTTTTTTTGTCAGATTGGCAAAATATATGTTTTTTGTTGTGCTGCAGAATTTTAGTAATAGTTTCTGTGTGCCATGAGACGAGAAAGGTTGGAAGTCGCTGACTCAGATCATCATGAGATGGCAGTGACGAACGTCACATTCACGTTTCAGCTCCCCGAGCACTAGCTGTGTGACCTCGGGCAAGTTACTAGGCTTCTGTGCGCTGTTTTCTCACCTGTAAGTTGAGACTGGGTAATGATAGTAACTGCCTCATGGAATTGTTTAGGTACGTTATCTAGTCCATTCATGCTTAGGGCTTTTCTGGAACGTTGGAAATGCCTTACGATGATGTGGGTGGAGCCCCAGACAGCTCCAGCCGCCCCTCATCCGATCACTGGTTTCCTTTCCTTGGTGAGGGGCATGTTCACTGAAATGTCACAATAAAGACAGTGGTGGAGATACAGTTCCAGTGGGATATGTAGACATTGGCTCTTCCAGATGGAGAAAATAGTGTGAGTCAGTCTGATGGGATAAACCTGGGATTGTCCCAGGAAGGTGAGTAAGTCAGCTGACCGGCAGTGTCAGGTGCGTGTTGGGGGCAGTGGGAGACCCAGCAGGAGCGGAGATTTGGGGTTCGCCCATGGAGGTCCTGAGGCGGAGGGCCGGGCGCTTGGGCTGTGGGCCTTTTTGCTGAGGTTCCTTTGGCAGCAAGGTGCAGAGAGCATGAGAGGGGCTGGGGCCTGGCTGGGCCAGGAGGCCTGTCCGTTGAATTAGCAGGAAGGGAGAAGAGGGTGTGGCATTGAGAGCACTTTAGAGCTGATACCGGGGCTGGGTGGGGCCAAGCACAGGTGAGTGCCACTCACAGAAACGGGGAGCTCTGGTTCCCTACTTAGGAGAGCAGAAATACGATTTCAGCTCCGTGAATGTCAGTCTGAGGTACCGATAGGACAGCCCAAGAGAAGGTCCCCCTTTGATGGAAATTCAGAGCTGGACACAGGCAGAGAGGTGGGCTTCAGAGAGAAAGTTCCCCAATTCCGAGAGTGGTAAAGACAGAAGAGATGAGTTTCTCAGGGCCCACGCCACAGAATCAAGAGACCCCATGTGCTTTGGACAGAAGCGGCTAAGGCATGAAGCAGGAAACATGGGCCCATCAGCGCCGGAGGGCAGGGATCTGATTCAGCTGCTCCTTGTGCGTTAAACGCACCTCTCCTCACATCTCCTGCGAGCCTTCCAGTGTGTCAGCCTGATCGTGGACCAGAGGAGAAACGCCTGTGTCCCTTTTCCCCATCACAGGCCGACGGGCAGCAACTCCCAGGACTCCTTTCATGCTGGGCAGAGAATTAGGCTCAGATTGCGGAGTTTTAAAATGGCATTGTAAGATTTACATATTTTATGTTACAGTGTTAGAAGACAGAGGCTCTGAAGACCTAACTTCAAATTTAAAAGATTTCAGGACCAAACTGTGTTATAACCCTTCATTTTGTGTGCGGTTTTTCAGTGGGTATAAAAATACTCGGTGGACGTGTGGGTGGTTTCTCGTGCTTTGGAAATGGTGAGAATGTGAGATGCTGAGCGTTGGGCTCCGGGATGAGAGCTATAATTACTAACTGATTCTTGACCAGGATTGGCTCATGGGTGGATATCTGCGTCTAAAAACCCAACACCCCAGAATCCAGAGCAATAACCATGCCCCCTCCTGATCCCTGGACATTAAAATTGTGGCAGAGAGGAGAGGGAATGTAGGGTGATGGTTCTTCCTCGCCTTGTCTCCTTGAATGCTGTTTGCTGAGTGAGTGAGTCAGGGACGTGACGGAAATGAAGGCTGGTGTGGCCTCTCCCAGCCTGACACACAACAGCCCCTGTGCAGCTGTGATGGAAAGAATTCTAAATATAACCCAGACTCATTTCAAATCTTCCTCCCCCAGGTCTTGGCGGATGTGGTACACACCCTAGAAATACCTGCTGTCTGAACCGTTGAGGGGGACCCGAAGAGGAAGGGACGGGTGATAGAGCAGAATTAGGGCCCTGTGGTGTCTGGGGGAGGGCGGGCCGGCTACCAGGCCTGCTGCCCACTGGGGCCTGCTCCGGAAGCTGTTGGTGAGCTGCCCACCGTGCCACCCTGTTCAGGGATAAGTGCCTACCCTTGAGGCTCGTATTCACTGTTGGCAGGTCTCAAGGAAACTATTCATAGACTGAGCATCTGTTCCCTGTCCCATTGACCTCAAGCCTGCAGCTGCCACCATGTATTCAGGCAGTGTGATGGCTTTTAGTCTTTTTCACAGAATCAGGATTTTAGAGCTGGCAAGGGCCGTAGACATTATACTGTTCATAAAGCAGTCCCTTAAAATCACTACGTTCGAGGAGTCCCATTTCTCTGCCTATATCGTGACCATAGCGATTTGGAAATGGAGTCTCAGCCATTGACTAATTCAAAGAAATCACTCTCATCCTTATCTAACACAAACAGGCATAATGAAAACCATTATTTTATTTTTTTAAAATATTGACTAAGTGACCCTGGGCAGTGCTTTTTCTTTTTTATTAAACCGTGTAAATTTGAGGCTCTTGCTTTTTTTTTACCCAAACGTCAGTATTTTGAATATAAAGTTCATTGGCAACCTGGTAACCAGAACACCAGGAGTCTTGTTTTTAGGAAGGTTTTCAATATCCAGTGTCTGGAATCCCAAACCAGAACCACGGTGGTGTAATTGAAGGACCATCGTTGACCTCTGCTTTCCTGGGAAAGAAAGGTTTCACAGGTCACCTCCAACACCCACGGGATGCCTTCAAAGTCGTGGAGGCCGTCGGCACCATTTAGAAAACAGATTAGGTCACCCAGCTTTTGAAATATATAACTCCTTAATCCAGCCTCCTTCAGGAAACTGGGAAGGCGGAATGAGGAGCACTTGCGAGGAGCTGTGTAGGGCAGGACAGGCCAGTCCCACTAGTGGAGGAGATGCGACCAGTTCATGTGCTGAGCAGTTTTAAACATGTTGCGTTACGGTGGTTACAGAACTTCCACAATTATAACAAAGTATGTATCCACTGAGTTTCTGGAAGATTGTTATTTATTTTTTACTCTGGGTTGAAAGTAATTGAAAGGTTTTTTTGACTGTTCAGAGGTATCAAAATGGTTGGAGTTTTTTATGTCTCTTAATACGCATCTGAAATAGCCGCCTCTGGAGGCTCAGTTTCCCCGGGACCAGCGCGCGCGTAACAGGAGCTGAGGCGCGCTGGGGCGGCCTGCTCCGGGCGCGGCGTGACTTTGTGGAAGCAGCGTGGCTTTGGAATTGTTCGTCCTGTCAGTTGTGTAGGAGCCGAGGAGGGTGTGGGCAGAGGGAAGCCCTTTCTTCCATGCCCTTCTAGAAGAAAGGAAGGGAGAGGGTAATGTCAGGTGGCACAGCTCATGGATTCTCAAACATTTCCCCTCTGAAATTCCAGAATGAAGAGCTTCGAAACTTGTCCCTCTCTGGCCATGTTGGATTTGACAGTCTTCCTGACCAGCTGGTCAACAAGTCGACCTCTCAAGGGTTCTGTTTCAACATCCTGTGTGTTGGTAAGTGACTCACCTGCTGCCGGGCACGGCGCCTGACCTTCAGCGGGCAGGTGCCTCAGGGGGACTCATTTCAGGGAAATAAGCAGAAGGATATTTTACTCCATTTTTATTTTCATTGTAAAGCAGGACAGTCATACCCACTCTGCCCCACAGTTACAAAGGTGGAGACTTGTGTTTGGGTCCATGCTTTGTAAGTTGCGTGGTGTTACTCAAATTATCTTTATTTGCGTCACACAGTCAAGTTAGTGGTCAGTTTAATGTTGTTATTAAAACATTTATTTTCATTTTTGATGGGGTGGTGAGGGGACTTAGACCCTAACGAGACACTAGACAGTAAAAGAAGAAACTGGGGAAAAGAAAAAAAAGAAAGAACTGAGGCGTGGGTAAGATCACTGAGAAGCCCTTTAGGAACTTACTCCTAGGGCCCGACTGCAGGGCCGCAGTAACCTGCCCTGGAGCCTTTTGTAAGAGGTCCTGCCTACAGTAAGTCAGTCTGAAACTACTCTCCTTTAACATACTTACAATGTTTAAAATTTTTGCTTTTAGAGCAAAAGACAACTTAAAATTCTGTTTTATATTTAAAATAAACTTTCTGCCTGAATTGTCAAATTAATCTTTTGTCCTTCAGTTGGAATCTAAAATTGACTGTAGCCCTGGCCGGTGTGGCTCAGTGGTTAGAGCGTCGGCCCTCGCTCCGAGGGGTCTCCGGTGTGATTCCTGGTCAAGGGCACATACCTGGGTTGCGGGTTCGATCTCTGGCCCCAGTCAGGGTGCGAGCAGGGGGGTGGGGGCAACCAATTGATATGACTCTCACACGTGTTTCTCTCTCTCTCCCTCCTCCCTCCTTTTCATTCTCTCTAAAAGTCAATGGAAAAAACATCCTTGGGGGAGAATGAACCAAAGAAATAATAACAATAAAAAGTAAAATTGACCTTCGTTTATTCCTGGTAGACAGATGGCAAAGGCCAAACATACCTGACTTATTTGCACCCTCAGTACGTTTTGTTTGTACCCTTTAAACATTACACAGTAGCCTAGGCCTCTGGCCGTGGCATTTCTCTCCTGCTCTCTAACCGTGTCCCTTTTAAACTAAGAGGAGGAAGGAGGAAAATAGAAATACAAGTCCCCTGTTGGTTTGAAGCAGAAATGTCCCTGACAGATGATGGCCTTTCCTTCGGCCTGTCGCTCCTGGTGAATGACCAGCTAAGCCGCGGCGAGGCGGTGTGGGCTGCGTTGTCCGGTTGCCGTTGTCCCCTGGGCATGTACTCCCGAGACGTCCTCTGAGGTGGACCAAAAGGAATTCTGTGTTTCTCTGTAGCCCCGTGGGCCGTCCTTCACCCAGGCTGGGCAGAATGTACCAGACGCACTTCTCGTGTCCAATGAAATGAAATGGTTTTAGAAAAGGTGTGTGCTCAATGTAAGAGCCGCCATTTATAAATACGATATTCATTGTGGGGAGGGGCAGGATATTTTCCGGTTTGAAAGTATTTGAACAGGCTGAATGCAGCCGCTGCACTGGGCGTTGTTTGGTGGAAAGCCACCGTTGATTTGCACACAGGCCAGCCCGCTCTGGCCTGGTGTCTGCAGCCCTGTGTGAGAGGAAGGCTGGAGGAGACAGGACCGGCAGCCAGTTCTCATGCTTTCTTTCCCCTTTCCCTGCATGGAGCCGTTTAAAATTCAGCAGGGGACCTCCTGAATGGCAGCTAGTTCTGAGGAGTGGCGTAAATGAATTGCCTTTTCTCTTATGGTAAATGCTCCTTGCAAAGCCTGCAATTCTTCATTAGCATAGCAATTTGTTGGCAATTTGTTGATTTTTCTATTGAAAAGTGGGCTGAATTGTAGACCAGTTACTATTCTGGCTTCTCTTTTCTGCCTCCCCCAGCCTTGTCTTCAAAATCAGCTTCACAAATACGTGTGAGCTGTGTTGCAGCTCCTGCAATAGGGGAACCTTCCCGGGGACTGGCCTTGCTGGACGGACCTGGCTTGAGCAGGGGTGTGGTGTGAAGTGGGTGTGCTGGCTCCTTGGCCGACCCCGTGCGTGAAACAGCACAGTGGTCACGCTGGTCAGAGCTCCTCGCCAGCCACGTCCAGGCTGCCCTGCTGGATTTGCGGAGCAGCTGCTATTGTGACTCACCTGGGTGGGTGATAATACCTATGAGTCTTAGATTTTTATTCCGGTTCCATTCTTAGACATGTTTAAAACTAGTTTTTTAAACTAACAAAAATAGTATATCTTTTTTGTTTAAAAAAAAATAACCCCTCCTTTTCTTCTTTCACTCTCATTCCCATTCCACGGAAATAACACTGTGAAATCCTTCTAGAAACTGTCTACCTCTTTCTGTACTTGGAAATTATTATTGGAGGCGTAAAACTACACCAATTTATTGTTATTAATTATTATTATTGTTATTATCATCTTGTAGTTCTCTAGAAGTCCAGCGTGTTTCTCACTGGGCCAGCTTCAAGGCATCCCCAGGGCCGCGGTCCTTCCCAGAACCTGTAGGGAGAGTATGTGTCCTTGCTTGTCTGGCTTCTAGAGGCCCCTGCTTTCCTTGGCTCTTGGACCCTTGATCTTCAAAGCCAGCAGCCTTGCATCTCTCTCTCTTACTGTTCTTGTGTTAGGAAATTTTCCATAGAGAATTGCTAAAATCCTGTTTAAACTCAGCTAAGACTCTTCCTCAGCCTCCAGTCACCAAAAAGGTAATTCACTGAGTTGTGTAGTTGAGTACAGTTGGCTCTCGGGATCCCGAGAGTGTCTCCAGGGCTGTGGCTCTGGTCTTGCCCCTCCTTGCTTCTGCTTGGCTTCGCGCTCAGGCTTTTTCTTCATGGGGGCAGCGTGGCCTCCAGCAGGGCAGCCAGCTTAGCAGCCCCGGAGGAAAGAAGACGCCATTCCTGACAGGTGTCACCGAGGAGTCACGGGATGTCCCTGATGGACCTGAGTCCGGTGCCCGCTCAGGGTGGGAGACGGCGAGCCCAGCCCCCAGACACAGGAGGCTCCCTGTGGGTAGGAAGACTGATGAGAAAGCGGGTGGGCACGGAGAGGCATGCGCTCCCTCACAGTTGCATAAGCACGTTTTAATTTTGGTTTAGGGAGCATGCTGCTCACATTCTTCTGCGTTTTCTTTTTCTTAATCCACAGGAAGACCTGGCTGTCCTTCCACGCCAGTCATCCAACAGATTCTTTTCCTTAACTCTGGAGCCCTGTGGTTGGCACCAGCATCAGCTCTTTGGAACGTGGGGGTGTCGGCGTCAATATCAAGCATACTTATCCTCAGGAGTAGAACACATCAAATCTTTTTACCATAAATATTTTATGGCAAAGTATCTGTATAAGAAAATAACTCTCCTTGCCAATCAATAGTCCATCTATTTTTAAAGGAAGAGTCTATGAAAAAGCATCCTAGCTGATCAAAACATTTTGAGAGCCACCCCGAGGGGCAGGTGTCGTATTCAGCTTCGGAGCATCCATGGTGCTGTCTTTCTTCTCGCCATCCCACTGTGCGCTTGTCGTTTTTTACACAGTATGTGCATGTTCGGTGTTTATAGCATCATTATTTTCGTGTGATAAATATGGAAGGAAATTGAGGATTTTTAAAAAAAGTTATGAGCCTAGTAAGGAAACTGATGATGTTTATCAAAAAGGTCTTAGAATTGTGATTTTGTTTTGCGGCAAAGACACCACGTAGGTTGCAAATAGAGGAAACGAACCAGGGCAGAGACTAATCCTGGCATGAGTTTAGCCTAGTTTTGAAGGCTCTGAATGACACGGCTGTTATTAGCACCCGCCTCCGATGCGCTCCGGAGAGAAATGGAATCAAGAGTGAGAGCGCGTGTTCACTTCGCCGGGAAGGGCATTCTCGATGCCCGTTTGGGCACAGAGCGCCCGGGTTCACAGCTCCCTCGCTCTCCGTCTCGCTGACAACACACCGAATCACCCCAAAGCTGCACTTTGGTTTAAATAAAGCCTTTTCTGTCTTGCCCATGCCGTATTCCTCCAGAGAACCTAAATTAGTCTTCAGCCTTTCTTCACAATTTTACATTTAAGTATCTTTCTCATTCATTTCCCAAAGCGGCACTAGCTCTGCGAGGGACGTCAGCACTGCTGCAGCTGTGCCGTCCCCCGTGGCACCCCTGCCTGACGACCGGCTCAGTAGCAGGGTCACAGTAAATTAGGAATACATCTTGAAAATAGGAATTCTTAAAATAACCAAACCATCATTGTCTTGAGGGAGTGACAGAAGAGGAGCAGAAAACAGACCAGTTTAAGGCCGTTTTAGCGAAGGCTGTCGTGTCAACTACACTGTTGCAGGTTACAATCAAATCGTGAACTTTTAGCCCATGTTGCTTTTCCAGGAAAGGATATAAAGTGGTTTACAGGGTGAAACGAATGAGTAAGTGAACAAAGATACAATTAGCCCTCCAGAAGAAAGTGGAGTCGGGTAGAGTCAGAGCTCAAAGCTGTCAGGTCAGCCTATGGCAATTAATTCTATCAGGAATACGTTGCCTGTCCGCCCGTGGTCAGAGCATGGAGGAAATCCACTCATTCAACACATGTTAGTCGAGCACATATTCTGTGCCAGATATAAGTTAAAAGTTTAACGGTGACAGATTTTAGTATCTGTAAAGTTAAAACAAAATAGTTGCTCGAGATGAAACACAAGTTCACCTGGGAAAAGTTTCTCCCTTGGATTTTCAGAAGAGAGATATGGTAAATGTCCCCACATCCGGGTCTAGGTTCCTGAGTGTCCCCAAGACGGTACAGTCGATCCGTGCAGTGCCAAGTGTCACATGCTGGGCTTTCAAATCCCTCATGCAGGCTGGTGGGATTAGCCAAAGCATGTTTCATCAAAGGCGATGCTCTGCGGAGATCAAACAACACGGCTTAGGTACATAGCTCTCTGATTATCTGGCTCCAACCAAGAATAAGGTTGAGAATATTTAGGGCAGGTGGACAGACCTTCCTGCAGTTACTCGGGTGTCATTCAAGTAGCCGGCCTTGGCAGTCAGAGTAAAAGATGCTGCATCACAGATAAAACTCTTTGATCAGTCTGCAATTCCCTGCTAATTAATAAGACAGTCCTTCTGCTTGTTTGTTTTTTTAATGCCCAACTTAGAGCTTGTGGATGAAATAAGCCCGAGGATAGAAAGGGAGAGGCGGGGCTGCTTTCCGCTGTGATGTGGGTGTCATGCTCCACCAGCACTGGCAGGGGCAGGAAAAACAGAAGCCACGGATAGCACTTCAGGAGTAAATCTCTAATTATTCTAACAACTAAGCATTTAAGTAGATGAATTTACAACAGGAAAAAAAAAACTCTTCAACAGGAATTTACAACAGGAAAAAACAAAACCAGCAAACTCTGAAAAAAATCTACCAAAGTGGCAAATCTCAGTATAAATGATTATCAGGATCATCTTTCTTTCCAATTAACTTTTAATAAATGCCAGGTACTCTGCTAGGGAGTTTGGAAATGCTTCAAAGTTGGTCTTAGTCATTAATTTTCTCAAAATATTGTGATAGCTGTTTAGTTTGAATTGGAACCTATGCCTAGTAGGCTTTCGGTTGCTCAGAAAGAACAAAAGCGTTCTTGAGGTCCTCAAAAGTATAGAAAATGTCCTTTCAGAGGCTAGAGAGAGGCCTCAAAAATGAATGCACCGAAAAACTCTCCTAGTTCTATAATTACATTTATTCCAAAAGCTGTCATTTCTTCCTGAACTGCTTTTGGTGAATCACACTGCTTCTGGAGTAACTGTGTCTAATTACAGCTTTTAAAAGCACAGGGCCTAGAAATGGAAAGTAAAGCACTCCGAAATTTAAAGGAACAGTGGTTTTCCAACCCACTGATTAACCCTGTACTATAAGTAGGGCCTGGAATGCTAATTGTTCATAATTTCCTCCCTAAGGTAAGTGATAATTAAAATTACCTTGCCTTTAAAAAAAAAAAAAAAAGGCATGATGTTCCTCATTGAGACGTGCTTAACTAATTCTCAGCCTAGTAAATGAGATGGTAATTTCCATCTTGTCATGGTAACCTGGAATCCTGGCCATGGAAACTGAAGGCGTGATTGCTGTCCTTACGGAAAGAGATGAAAGTTGAATGGGTCAGTTTCTCCGGACAGAATCTTTACCTTACACAGAGACCTTTATAAAGCAGTTCTGCTGTCATGCCTTTGTCCATGGTCTGAAAATAGGTAAATCGTGAAAAGAAGTTTGTTACACTTGAGAAAGTTACACATGTAACAGGTACATAAAATGCCTGGAGTACCTACAGTATTGAATTGCCTACCAGGGTCTAAGTATCTTAAGAGTTGAGAGCCTTGTTTTGTTTCTGTATCCATTACATAGTAACTTGGTTTTGCTCAGAGTTACCCTGTTAGGCCATGAATCATGGATATATGCCTGTTGAGCTCTAGCATGTTAGGGAGCGCAGACTAGGTTAGATTACTCTTACTGCCGGGCCTTTTTGGTAAGAATTTCCAGGAAGGTAAGGAAGATAGGAACCGTCTCAGCCGCTCCCCAGCCAGACTTCACGGGGATCTGGAATGGCATTCAGGATATTACAGAAGTGCAAGCCGTGTCCGTTGTCTGTCTCCATTCACCATTTTATGCCCAGCACCTACGCCTGTCACATAGTTAATGCTCAGGTATTATTAATGAATGAATTTCAGATCCTAAGCTCTACTGTGTCTGCCTGCTCTCTTTCTCCTGTATTCCCAGCTAATGGTCTGTCAGCAGCATCTGTGATTTACCTAAAGCCGTTGCTGCCTCCTGACTTCTGCCTATTCCACTTCTCTCTGTATATCTTTTCTTACGCCATGGCCATATGTGAAGGTTGTATCTCTCACTCAAACCGCCAGAGAGAGGAGCTCTGACAGAGAGGCCACTGCCCAGGATGGAGCACTGTCCCAGGGCGTCATGATTAGGCCTTTGCTCAGGGGACTGGCCCTGGTTGAGTTAGTTACCTATGGTCACTAAGTATGAAGTATTGCTTGCTCATCAGAGGAATGTGGTGACGCAGACGCTTAGAATATTATTCCCATAATAATTAGGGTCTCGTCGGTATTCATTCAGCCATGTCCCCGGCCAGATCCTGAGGCCTGGGAGAACACCGCAGCGGCTAGTCCATTGTCGTGTTCCCAGACCTTGGCACGGAGCTTGGTACATAGTAAGCAGTGGAAAAATACTGGCTGAATGAAGGCTGAAAGAAGAGGAAATACTTTGATCGTCCATGTATCCGGGGCCCAGTGGGAAAGGTTAAAAAGGAAGGCAAACATACTTGAACCACTCATCCTCTAAGTGAATCATTGTCGTCAGTGGCAAACCACATAAGGCTGCTAATTAGAGAAAGCTCAGATCCAGAAAAACTCCTACTTCACTTTTGCATTATGTTGGAAAACAATGAGTAATATGGAACTTCTCATTGGTAAGGGGCCTTTGCCATCACAGTGGGAGACTTGCCTCAAGGCTATAAATCCCAAAGTTATTTTTCCCCCCGTGGAATTGTCCCCATCCTAATAGGCATCATAGGAGTCTTTTAGAAGAGAAACTTTTCCTGGGATTTGTTGGAAGGGCTGTAACATATTAGCATGTTGAAATTGAGCTGGAAATCTAATTGGGAGGTTTTCCAGATTAAAAATAAAAAAGACTTTCCTATGGATAATGTTCTTTGATTCCTACTTCCCTTTTTCCAACATCACATATTCAGTCACTAGCACCACCTCCAGTGACCAGGGTAGGGTGGGGTCTTCCTCATTGCAGACTATTTTTGACTCAACATAAGAATTAGAATTAAGGAGAATTTTGCTTGGTTTTATTATGAAGGTCCGGCTAGTTTTTCTTGGGTCTCACCGTTTGATTAGCATAGTGGTACGAGGTACCTGCCACCCTGCTCTGCACGTATTAGGGTCTGTAAACACTTAATGACTTGAATTACCAATGTGAATTAATAAGGCCAGCGTTGCAGGTCATTTAGCATAATTCAGTTTCACTGTCACAGACATCACCCTGAAATTGGGAGACCTATCTAAGAAATGTTTGCCACCTTGACTCCAGCTGACTAGGGAGAAAGAAAATGGCGATAATATAGAAGATTCGCACAAATTCATAACTATAACTGGAAAATATTAGGCAGGTGGTTTTTTCTGTAATAGGAAAGGCAGGATGAGAGCAGGATGAAAGGCAGGCTCAGTGTAGGTGTTAGCGTCACGCAGACTTGGGTTAGAAGCCTGGCTCTGCCACTTCACAGTGCGACTTCGGACAAGGTACCGGAACCTTACCTAAGTGTTGGTGCCTTGGCTGGAAAGCGAAGGAACCAGGACCAGCCGACTGTTTCTTGGAGGGTTGTAACAGCCTTTCAGTGAGGTCATGCTTTGGAAGCTCTTGCCACAGGGCCTGGCACAAAGTCAGCGCTCGGTCACTTAGCTGAGCTTGTGATTATTCCTGTTACTGTCAACAGTGTTGTTTTGAAAAATGTAATTCTTTTTGACAATATTACATGGTATCAGATAATTCAGTATAAATGGAATAAATCTTTTTTTTTTTCCTAGTAAAAGGAACTTAGTAATATAATTTTTTTAGGTAACAGTTTTACACACCAATAGTTAGGAAAGGAAGAGAGATACTTTATTGCCTTTGTAATGTACAAACTGACCACAGGCAAGCTTACAGCTTGTTTCTCTATCCAGAGCTAAAGAAGAGTATCTTGATCTGTAAGTTCAAGACTTTTTCTGGTAAATAGTTTCTAAAATTTATTAAGACATTTCTAGGGAGGTATTCAGTAAATCACACATAGAAAGAACAAACTATCTTTTCGTGGAGGGATTTCTGGTGATAGTGACTTTTTTGGAAGTTTCACAAACATGATGAAAAGCTCCCGATGACGCGAACTGCTGTCTGAGGGGCACTGACACATTCTGTGATTGCTCTCTTGTGGCCATAGGTGAGACGGGCATCGGAAAATCCACGTTAATGGACACTTTATTCAATACCAAATTTGAAAGCGACCCAGCTACTCACAATGAACCAGGCGTCCGGTTAAAAGCCAGAAGTTACGAGCTTCAGGAAAGCAACGTCCGGCTGAAGTTAACCATCGTGGACACCGTGGGATTTGGAGACCAGATCAATAAAGATGACAGGTATATCTTGGGATTTTGTGGGGATATAAATGGATGAAGCGATAGCAGGACCCATCCCCGTTAAATTCAAAGGCTAAATGTTCACTGATTATGGGGGTTGGTCCAACTCTTATCACCTAAAAGATGAGACATTCTTGTCCTGAGAAATTTTCTTAGAGTGAAGTCAGCTAGTGTAATTGATTCCCGCTAGTGTAAACAGAGAAGGGATGTGTTAGAAGGACTATAAGCTAAATTGGGACATTTTTCCAGGAGGGCCATGGGACCAGGTTTGGGGGATTTCCCATCAGGAAAATCAATCTAGAGAAACAGAAGCATATAACCATCCCCAAGACAGTTAGCAGAAACCCCTGCCACCAACCACTTTTGGTACTTGTGACCCTGGGGCCAGGTCTCTAGAACCTCCACCACGTCTGTCCCAGGTAACCAAATACCTCCTCCATCGCGTGCAAGAAGAACCCTTTTCCCCGCGTGGCTTCTGCCTTGGGTTGCTCCTAAACCCAAAGTGAAGAAAAAATTTTATGAAAGATTTGTTGAGAAAATCTTAAGTTTCTGGCTTACTATTTTAAATACTACATTTTATCTCAAAAGAAGTTTGAGAAAGTTAAAATGAAACTGTCCCAGGCCCAAAGATGATTCCAGAAGGGGTGCTTCCAGGGACATTTTTGAGCGGTGACAGCATTGTGGAAATGAAACGCTAAGTCAATAACTTCTGGTGTGTTTGCTTAGGGCTCAGATGCTTCATTGGTACCAGGGTTTTTTCTGTTTGTTTTTTTATTCAAAACTTTATATAATATACATGTGTTTTGTAAAAAGGAACTTGAACTATTTTTATCTAGAAATGTGTATTGCTGAGATATACAGGGTGGGTTTAAGTAGGTTTACAGTTTGTATAGAAAATAATACAATGATTAATAAGTAATAATACAAGAATAAACTGCGTTTCACGTACTCACAATTGTCAACCCACTTTTGCCCACCCTGTATTTTAACTGTCTCTAATATATATGAGCACCATGATAGTGACAGAGAAATTCCTAATTCATTATGTAGCTGAGCACCGAGCTCTAGTTCACCTACAGAGCAATTTAAATGCTCTTTAACAAACATTGTCCTGTAACAACAGGAGAAATTGTTAGAGAGAGAGATTGTATTTTCCATCTGGTCGGAAGGGACTATCTGTACATTGTGTTGGGGTGGGAGACGGCCGAGCTCAGACCCTGAAGCTGAGCAGTTGCTCTTAATGTCCGACCTCAGTGCCACGGCATGGCGGGGAGGCCACTGCCCGGGGCTGCCTGCGGTGCCAGGCGGGACGGAGGAGGAGAAGGGCCTGGCCACGAGGGGAGCACGGGCGCAGGGCGGGAGCCGGGCACGGGCGGGGTCACTGTGCAGTCACAGCGCCCACGAGACCGACGCGCATCTCGGCATCCCCGCGTCCCCGGCCTGCGCGGCCTCCCCCGGGTTAGAGAGAGCGTGTGCGTGTGGGTGTGTGTGTGCGCGCCCCGTTTAGAAGGCCGCATCTGGGCCTTTTCGGGACCCCTTTGTGTGGGCACGAGAGCCCCCCCAGCGTCTTGCTGTCCCGCTCAGAGCCTCGGTGCCTCCGCTGCATCCCTGCCTCTGCCCTGCCCGGGACCCTCCCTCGGGCCGGGGTCGCACTGACCAGCACAGACCAGCGCGCGGCCAGTGAAACTCCTGTCCTCATGATTGCAGCCGGAGGCCTCTTTAAGAAAGTATCTGACTCATTTGGGCCAAATAGTAGTTTCCAAGGAGATTTAGAAGAGAGGAAGTGTGATATTAACCTAACCTAGATACCAAATATTTTTTTCTTCAGAAGTTTCTTGACAGCTGTTGCATAACCTCTTTAAACGGATTTAGAACCCTGTGCCCCAGGAGGCAGTATTGACACTATTGATTATAAACCAGAGGACTGCTGTTTAAAATAGTTACTCGGATGGGCCCTGCGTCCATCCAAACATTGTGAGTGGGATGTGCATTTTTGCACTGATATGTAACCATATGGTGAGGGAAGTGCTGTTTGTTTAAGCCCATGATTATTTTACTAGTTTGGGGATTAGGCAAGCTTTTCTGCCATTGATGCAAGACTTCAAGAATGTCCCAGTTTATTTACATAGGCTTCGGACGTGTCAGCATTCCTGCACCGTTATCTGCCTGGGACCAGGCTAGCTAGAAGGAGGCAGGAAGAGAGATCGGGTAAGGTTTCCTGTTATGTTCAAGAGCGTGATTAACTCTGCGCAGGGGAAGGGCTCCCTCGTTTTGCTGTCTGTAGTCTTCAGAGAAGAAGGGGAGGGGTTTGGAGAGAAGGGAAACCAGGTTTTGCTGTGGAGCTGGAAAGCCACTGGTTAGCCCTGCGTTTGGGAGATGGGAGACACACGGTCACTGGCTTATTAACTGTAATGATCGTCAAGCCCTGAAAAGCCCAGATGCTCGAAATTCACTTAGAACCCTCAAACTCACCGTCTTCGTCGGGGTTATAAAAATGGAACCGAAGTAGCCTGTGTGGCCTTTGAATTCTTTTTTTTTCCTTCACACTTTCTGGTGGAGATAGTTGAGGGATAAGGGAAGTTGACTTTGGCGAACAGCAAGATAGAGAAAATACATGGTGGGCATTCGGTCACATACAGAGCGGAGGGTCAGTCCCTGAACGATGGCACTGGCTGGTTTCAGACGATCGGTGTGTGGCTTGGGGAGACCGAAACATTGTATACATATTTCTTCCATCGGCTTCAGGGTTTCTGATGGCTGGAGGTGTGTGACAAATGAGTGGTGGGTGACCGAATATCGCGGTGCCATAAAAGGAGCTAGGTGGAAATGGATGGGCCAGATAGGGTTTGCCCGCCCCTCCCCCATTTCCTCCGATTTATATGGCTACAATCCAGAGAAGTTAGAATTGGCCAGACAGAATATAAATAGATGTCCTTTCTATAAGAATGGAAACTAGCAAAAGGCAAAATAGGGGTTAAGTGTCCCTGCCTTTGTGGCTGAATGCTGGTAGCGGAAGTGGACGGAGTGGGAGAGGGCAGTGGGTCCGTGGGAAGGGTTGCGAACGGGCGTAGAGCCACTTGGGACTGTTCCATCAACATCGTTACACCTTCAGCCTGAGGAATGGCGATTTTGGTAACGAGGTCCCCTGGAGCACGCTTTCTGTTCGCTTGTCATGACCCCCACGGTGGATGGGCTCTCGCGTTGGAGGCAGGAGGGGCTCTCGGGTGGATCCCTCGTGGCCGGCGTGTGGGTGGAGGGACCGTGCCCTGAGCTGAGGAACACGGGGAAGTGTGGGGCTGGGGACATTGGACTCACTGAGTCAGAAGAGCACAGGGACATACCTGGTAAGCAGTTGGATGGATGGGCCTGAAGCTCAGGTGAAGGACCGGGGCTGGAAGCAGAGATTTGTGAATCATCAGGTGGATGGCAAGTGAAACACAGGAGGAGGAGTTGTGGTTTTCCAGGGGGACCAGGTAGAGGGCAAGAAGGAGACAGAAAGATTGGCCAGGACTCGGAAACGGGAAGCCAGGGGAGGCCTGAGATGTAAGGGGACAGCACATTTCTTTGGCTGTATTGAATCCAGGGCAGGACGCATTCCTCACTTGAAAAGAAGAGAGAGTCTGCCTTCCTTGGTCTGGGAGGATCAGAATTAAAGCCAGAGGCTAACAGGGAAATTAATAGAAAGCAGAACAGACTTGGACAGCTGCTGGGGAGGAGGTGCTGAGAAGCACATCAGGAAGTGGGGAGACAGAAAGGAGCAACTGCTGTGAGCCGCTTTTCCTCTCCTTGGGGCTGAGAGGGCTGGGGAGCACCCTGACTCCCCAAGCACGGGCCTCAGCGTCAGGAGACCGAAAGATCGGGCCCTGGACTGACAGGGCATCGCGGCCCTTGTTGGAGGGGCCTGGCCCGCGTCCCGACCCAGGGGCCATGAGCTCTGTAGCAGAGCAGTTGCCAGGGAACCGGGTGATAGTCAAGTTCTCCCCCCCCACCCCCGTCTCTTAAAAAAGTCAGGCTTGCTTTTCTCTTATTTGTTGTTTATTATATTACCGTGAAGTAGTTATGGCTTACTTTTATGTGCTAGTCCTTTATATACATTAGCTCAGTTATTTGTCACAGTAGCTCTCTGATTTGTCTGAGGAAACTGAGACCCAGAGAGATTCAGTAACTTGCCCAAAGTCACACAGCTGGTGAGCTGTAGAGCGAGATTGTGGCCTTAGGTGGTCTGGCTCGAGTCCATGCTTCTAACCGCCATTCTGTATGACTATCTTATAATGATGATGATTACTATTGTTCTGTAACGCCTGCCATTATTTTAAAATTGGAAAACAGAGGACTCTTATCTTAAAACCTGCTCGTTGGAATTTTGCCTGCCGTGAGTTAGGACTTTATCTTATTGCTGAGGCGCAGACTACTTTTCTTTTTAAACCTCTAGAGATTTGTCTGCTTACAAAGAACCAAGGGTTTGCGATAAGTTTCCAAGGGAAAATGTCATCAAAAAGCTTTTCTCTGACGGCTTTGGTTTGAGTCATAAATATGTTTGGTTTCCTGTTTTGTTTTTGTTTATTTGTTTGTTTTTGTTTTTCACTTAAGGCGTCTGCGGTCAAATTCACTATAAAAGATTTGTAGTTCCCTTTTAGGATTTCCGTTAATTTATAGTCCTGGGATTCAGTGTTGGAAGGTTTTTCTGTTTCTTGAAGCTTAAATCATTGCTCAGCATCGTAGTAAGTTTGGGGAGAATTAACCTGTTGTTTTCCCACTAGACCGCTCTCATTGCTGCTGACTAACTCCCCCTGGGAGACCTGAAAGGGTTCATGGCTTATCCACAGTGACCTAATGTACCACTTACTCCCCGGAGAGCATGTGATTTATTCAAGATGTATTTCCAATGTGCTTTTAATGATTGTGTTTATGATCAGTTAATAGAATCGTACATAATAATCCCCCCAAAAGGATTTGAGTTATGGTTTGGTGAGGACAGAGGGTTATATATTTTATCTTCAAATCATAAAATTTAGAGTTGGAAAGAACCTACAAGATCATAGTGGTCGCGGCACTTCAGTTTATAGCTGAAATCACAGAGTGTGCACAGGGCTTTAGGAGAGCATGGAGAACCCCTTACCTCTGGGGGACCGGGCAGAGGGCCAGGGAAGAGCTCCCAGTAGGAGGTGCTGCCGTATCCTGGCATCGCAGGCCAGTTTTACTTTGTGCACCAGTGTCAGTCGGTTGGTGCGGGCTGTCCAGATCACTTTGTTGGGACAGGTTTGGAGGCTCAGTTTTGCCCTCAGAGGAAAGAATGCCACGACCTCTTAGCTACATCTTTGTGCGTTGCATGGGGAAATGACCACATGCTTCGCGTGTTTATAATCTCTGTTTTAGAGGATGGACGTTAGCCAGGAAAATAACAGCAAGAAGGCTGTCCCAGGTAGAGGGGCTGGCGTGAGCAAAGGCATGCAGGCAGAGCTTGCACATGGCTGGGCCAGACGTGATGAACCGGGGAGGCATGGGACAGAGGAGCCTGGAGAGATGTTCAGGGACCACAAGGCAGAAGGCCTGGGATGCCGGGGGCTTGGGCTTTAGCGCTCGGGGAAGGAGGAACCGTTGAAGACATTCCTGGAGCCCTGTGCCACGCTGACTGTGAGAGGCGCGTGACTAGAGACATGCTGATTGAAAATGTGTTTTAGAAAACCTTCTTCTGCGTTCTAGCTACAAGCCGATAGTGGAATATATCGATGCCCAGTTTGAGGCCTACTTGCAAGAGGAATTGAAGATCAAACGTTCTCTCTTCAACTACCACGACACCAGGATCCACGCGTGCCTCTACTTCATTGCCCCTACTGGACACTCACTGAAGTCCCTGGACCTGGTCACCATGAAGAAGCTGGACAGTAAGGTACTCACTGCCCATCCGCTGTCCTCCACTCTCCTGTCACATCACCTTTATCCCAAGGCCACAGTTTATTCTCTCACTTCAGTGTAATTTGGTTTTCTGTTTTGTTTTAGACTTTTTTTTTTAAGACCAGTTTTAGATTCATAGCAAAATTAAGAGTGAGGTACAGAGATTTCCCATGCATCCCCCACAGAGTGGTCCATTTGTTACAACTGATGAACTGCATCGATACATCGTAATCCCCAAAGTCCATTGTTTACCTTAAGGCTCAGTCTCGGTGTACATTGTGTGGGTTTGAACAAATGTGTAATGACGTGTATCCATTGTTATAGTATCATACACAGTAGTTTCACTGCCCTGAAAACCCCTGTGCTCTGCCTATTCCTCCCTCTCTCCTCAACCCCATAATTTGTGTTTTCTGGTTTACAGAACCGTAGGGTTGAACAATGTCAGAAAAATGCTTCAGAACTTCTCTAGATGTTAGGAGAAAACAAAACAAAACAAACAAAGCCATGTAGCTTTGTTAAAAGTATTTGGGGAATTACTTGGTGGAGACAGGAAAATGGTTTAGAAAGGGTTAAGTTTAGGGAGATTGAAACATTAACTCATGATTTGTTTATTTCCTTAAAAACTTTCCCTAAATTTCTTAAAAGGTTTGGCTTTAATTTGAAGTTTAGAATAAAAAAAAAAGAAGTTACTTTTTTTTTAATCTATGCGATAACGGTCCAGCTTCTTAGATTTTGAAACTGAGTTGCACCCATGTGTTCAAAAGAAGTAAAGTCTTAGTTTCAGTTTGACCCCTGAGCTTTCCACACTGACAGCCTCTCTCTTTCACAACATTTGAAGGAAGGGACTGATTAGTTTGATAACATTTAGTGATCTGCTTTTCAGTTAATTTAATTTTTCATTTTGAGATAAATGGAAGATAAATACATTTCTGAAATAAATCAGCAGCAAAGGGGAACAACTAAAATTTCTTTTTTAAAAAAAAATAACGTTTTTTACTGATTTTAAAGAGAGAGGAAGGGAGAGAGAGAAATATCTACAGGCTTCCTCCTGCACACCCCTCACTGGGATCGAGCCCGCAACTCGGGCAGGTGCCCTGGCAGGGAATCGAACCCACGACCTCTTGGTGCCCAGGACGACTCTCAGCCAACTGAGCCACACCGGTCAGGGCAGCAGTAGCATCTTACTGAAACCTCTGTACCTACCAGGGAGTGGAAGAAAGTTAACCTTAAAAATGAATTTTTAAGAATATGTGCGGTGGGCAGTGCCGCCGGAAGCTGGAGAGGCCTGTCCCACCTCGGGGCGGGGCTTGCACGCAGGACAGCCTTGGCCCGGTCTGGGCTCTCTGCCACTGTGGTCAAGCTCTGAGCGCTCCCTGGCCTGTGTGACCAGGGCTCTGAAAGCGAGCCCGGCCTCTGGCCCTAGGTCTCCGTCTGGCATGAAGGGGTAATGTGATAGAAGCTGACTTTCAGAAGAACTAGTTGGTGTGATTTTGAAAAACTTTAAAGTAGGAGAAACCATGTTTGCTTTGGTTAATACTCAGGTGCTTCCCTCCCAGCAGTTCTCAGAGTATCAGGAGAAGGGAAGGATGTTACCCTGCATAGAGCTGAATATTCCACTGTTCAAACTACCCAAAACTGTATTATTACACTGATAGGAACATGCAAAAATCAATTTCCTAAAGGAGCTGGGAGGGGCCTAAAAAGAGTGGTTGGTTATTGAAAGAATAGGCTTCTGCATTATCGCCGTTGGTCATAGAGCAACACTTCCTTTCACGCTGTGCAGAAGCGTGAGGTGGCCCAGAGAGGAAATGACAGGGGGCCTTGCAGTGCCGATGGGGGGGAGTAGAAGTGTTTGCAGATGGAACCAAAAGGTCATCCCCGTGTGTTCTTAATTTTGCACCTCAGTCAAAAGTCCTGTTTTCAATATCCTCTCTATTTTTTAAGTCAAGTTTTACAATTTCTGTTTCTCTGTTTACTATGTTTTATTCATTTGACTTAATTATTTTTCTTACTTTGGAATTGTGCAAAAATGGATGCATCTGTTTCATAGGTGAACATCATTCCAATAATTGCAAAAGCTGACACCATCGCCAAGAACGAGTTGCACAAATTCAAGAGTAAGATCATGAGCGAACTCGTCAGCAATGGAGTCCAGATATATCAGTTCCCCACAGATGAAGAAACGGTGGCAGAGATTAATGCAACAATGAGCGTAAGTCCTCACGTGAGAAAGCACCAGCCAGTAATTTCCTGGAGGCTTTTCTTGGTGTCAGCATGGTAGGGCGGCCGGGACGCTGGCCTGGGAATCTGGCGTCTTCAGTGTGGCCCGGTTCTACCACTGGTTCAAGTAACTTAACCACTGTGCTGCTCAGTTTTCCCACCTGTCAAATGGGCGAGTTAAACAAGGTGATCTCAGAATTCCTCCCACTCTAAAGTTATGATTTTTACAGCAAATCTGGGGGAAGGGGGCGCCAGCCCAGCACCACTTCGCACAGCAGCTTAGAGGAAGCGGATCTCTGCCTGCTTGTGCCAGGTTGGCAGAAACGTGTCCACCTGCCTCACGTTTGCTTCTGAGATTGGTTCCTGCCTTTCCCCCCTTTTTTTACTTTCCCCACCCTTTCCTGAATCGTTAGGTAAACCGGCAGTGGAGGGTGTAATTTCCACATCACCCGGGGAAACTGGTCAGGAGATTAATGATTGAAGCCTCAGCATCTAGGTGTGCCTGTGGCATAATCTCTCCTGGCAAAGCCCATCCGGCGGGCGACGGCCGCATCCGCCCGCTGCCCTGTGTCTCTGAGCCACAATGAGTATGTATCTGTTTCCATCCGGGAATGCGTAACTTCGGTAAAAGCAGCATTCTTTGTGGATGCCCAGTAATGGTCTTCGGAATTCTTAAAATTGTAGGTTCCCTTCAGTGAAATGTAATTAGAAGGTACCAAATAGCTTGCCCTCACCTGAGTACATGCCGAGAATGGATTCTGACATGTGCCAGTGGCAGCGGGAGTCAGTCTGAACTTTCCGATTTGTGGAAGGTGGAAGTCTGTTCCACTTTCATTAGGAGATCTGATCATGAAAAATTGTGTCTAATCATGTCATTGTTAAATGTACTAATGACACTTTTAAAAAATGCATAGCTTTACTGTGATATAATTGATATACTGTACAATTCAGTTTCCTAGTATATCCACAGACTTGTACAGCCAATGCCACAAACAATTTTAGAACATTTTCTTCACCCCGAAAAGATGTTCTGTACCTTTTAGCTGTTAATTCTCTAACCATCCCAGCCATAGGCAACTGCTAACCCACTTTCTGGACTCTGGATTTGCCAGTTCTGAACATTTTATATAAAGGGAGCCAGGCTGAGGTCTGTCTAGGGGATGAAATGACTTGGTCAAACCCTGTAGCTAACAGCAGGCCGGAGGTTTCAACCCCGCCTAGCCGGTCCCCTGTTACGTTTGTCATCAAGCACTTTGGAAGCAAATGTAACTTTCTTCCTCTCTGGCGCTGTTATTGTATGAATTTAAAATTTAGGCATGTCATTAATGCAGAGGTGGTCCAGCTTCACTCTGCCCCGTTCTGGCCACGCTGACCGTTGTGTGACCCGCTCTCGCTGTCACCCTCCTGTGGCCGGGAGAGTGAAGGCTCTGGAAGAACCTGGAGGGCAGATCCTTCCTGGGAAGCAGGCACGGGGTGTGTGACAGGAAGGTTGCCGTAAGGGGGAATGACTGGACTTATTCAGAAGACTGAACCAAAACTAATGGGCGGAAGAGCAGGGAGGGGCTTGGGCCCATGTGCAGTTTGACCGTCAGCACCCCCGCCACACAACAGGCACCTGACCACCTTGGGAGATTCCTGCGCTGATCCCACGGAGTGTTACGTAAGGTCTCTCCTGCCTCTCAGATTCTCTGGTTCTGGGTGGGAGAGCTTCATGGTTCTAGTAGCACCTGACATTTTTGGTATGTAGGGAGCATTTACTACGTACCAGGTGCTGTTTGAGGCTTTCCATTTAATCTTTACAATAATCCCCCGGGAGGTACTGTTATTTCTTTCTCTCCTAAGGGAAGCATCAGCCATGCACCTGAGGCCGCACAGCTCTCGGCAGCAGAGGCAGGATTTGAACCCAGGAGCTTCACTCTAGAGCCAGCAGCCTCGCCTTCATGCTCGCTGCCACCAGGCAGAGCGCTGTGCTTGTTCAGGCGCTGTCCAGGGCTCCGCCTGCGATGCCACTTGTTCCTCCTGCCGTGGAACTGCAATTGGGTGTCAGTGTGGGATTCAGGAAGGAACACGAATGAATATCATCTGATTTTCTCTTTATATCCCTTCCCCTTCTTTCAAATCATTTTGCACAGTCATAAAATTAAATTTCTGTTAACTTTTTTGGCAAGAAAATACCCATGGACCTTTTCTCTCTTTCTCTATCAGACTGAAAATACTAAAGACCTTTGCTATTCCCAAATTCGCCTTGCTCTTTATCAGGAAATTTTATTTTCAGTCTTCATTGCAAACCATTCCTGGTGATGAAGTCCCATGTGCTGCCTGGAGGAAGCGCTTTCCTTGGTGGTTACACCGATTGTGGCCGGAAGGATCCTGTGTCTCCTCAGCTTCGGGGAACACATTTCAATTCCAGACTTGGAGTTTGAGAAAGAGACATGCTTTCTTTCCTTCCTACGCAGTGTGAGACAAACTAGAAATATAAATATCTTGAGCAGCAGAAAAAAAATACCACTTGGGCAGCCTGGGCAGAGGGTTACACCAAGCTCTCTGTGGGAGAGGACTTGGCTTTAAAACATTCTTCCTTTCTCAGCTTATCTGCAGTGGAAGAACAGTGGATCAGGGAACCCTAAATAATAATTCCCAGGGCAGCCACTTTAAGTGTTCTTATTCCTACATGCTAATAGAAAAAAGATAGAATTACTGTTTCCTCCCAGAATGTAGCCATAGCTTCCAAATAAGCCAGCGTGGATCAGCCAGTTGTCTTGAACACCCTCTGCTTGAGATACGTCTGGGTGCAAGGCCCGGGCCAGTACTTTGGGCGATGGTGTATTTCTAGCTTGAATTCTGTGCAGTAGTCAGCTTTCTAAAGCAGTGCTGTTGAACAGAAATATAACAAGAACCACACAAGTATTTTAAAATTTTATAGTAGCCACATTGAAAAGGTGAAAAGAAACATGAAATTAATTTTATAACTTATTTAACCCAGCATACCCAACATATTATCATTTTAACATGTATAAAAATAAGAATCATTAATGAAGTATTTTCGAAGCAAGTCTTTGAAATCCACTATATGTGGGTGCACACCTAGTTACTCCTAAATACTTGGAAGTTTTTAAAATATAAGTACCAAAAAGGTAATTTTCCTTTAACGTATCCACATTGACAAAACTGGTTCTCCTCTTTGTAGAAGATTTGCATTTGAAACAAAGTGAAATTCAGTTTCTTGATCCCACAAGCCCCATTTCAAATGCTCAAGAGCCACATACTTTAGTGGCTACTGTACTGGCAGCTTGTGTGTAAAGCTTACTGTATAGTTGCAAAGACCCACGCGGTTTCCCCTTGGGTGTAGCTCTCAGATATTCAGAGTGGGTGTGGGGGGCGTGGGGTGCACGAAGCCCCCGGACTGCAGTGCCGCTCCCTCTTCCACCCTCCCGGCCTCTCTTACCTCTGAGCCAAGGCCTGTGGAAGGGGGGGAGTGTAGAGGCGGCTGGGAAACCAGGCCTTGCCGGAGCTGGGCAGGGTCCCTATAGCAGGTCCCTGGATAACGTCCTTTTGTTCAACATCATTTTGTTATAACTTTGATGAGTGGAAAAAAATGGATTCTCGGCCAAGGCCACTGTCTGTGTGGGGTTGTCGCGTCCTCCCCTTGTCTGCGTGGGCTTTCTCCGGGGACTCCAGTTTCCCCCACATCCCAAAGATGTGCATGTTGGGCGAACCCGCGTGTGCCTGCGCTGTCCCCTCGGGGTGTGGGTGTGGGTGCCCCTGGGGTGGAAGGGCGGGCGTCCTGTCCGGGGAGGGCCCCTCCCGGTGCTCTGAGCTGCCTGGAGAGGCTCTGCCACCCTCGACCATGGACTGGAATCAGCAGGTTGGGAAATAGTGACCTTCCTTGTTTCTATGAATCTTTCTTAGCCGTGTGTAGCTCACACGTTTTTCCATGATTAGAAGGGTTTTGGATCTTTAGAAGTTCGGGGATGTTTCCGTGACCAGAGATATGCCATAGGAACTTAACTGTTGGTATCAATTGGACTGTAGCAGACGATGGGAGGACTCACTGCGCGCACTCTCTGTCCTTGTGTTGCTGGCAGGTCCACCTGCCGTTTGCGGTGGTCGGCAGCACCGAAGAGGTGAAGATCGGCAACAAGACAGCCAAGGCCAGGCAGTACCCGTGGGGAGTGGTGCAGGGTACGTGTGCGTCGCGGGGGCTCTTCCCTCTAACCCCGTGGTGACCGGCCGCGTGCTTGGGGGGCCCTTAGTCGAGGGCGGGCGGAAGGGAGCGGCAGGGCTGTGCACCTGGCAGCTGTGGAGGCGAGGAAGAAACGGTGACCAGGTAGGACAGTGGGGACAGTGGAGAGACGTGGCCGCAAAGCCCTGGTGCCCAGAGGCAGCCCCGAAAGAAGGGAGGCTTGTGCGGGAAATTCAGTATAAGCTCCTGAGAGAAGGGACTTCTTCCCTGGAGCCTCAGCCGGTTTCATCAGTGAAGTATAAGAAGGCCGCCAAGAGTTTCTTGCGAAGAGGAGAAGACTCGTTTCTCCGTGCTTGTTCATCCCTGGGAGCAGTCCTCCGGTTAAACGCTATCTCGGTAAACACCTGAGAGTTAGGAGAACGCCTGGCCTAGGCTTGGCACTGGGAGACAGGACCACAGTCTAACCTGAAGACGCTTCCATGTGCCACTTGGATGGCCAAGGACTGTCACCGGCCTTGCGTGCTTGAAGCAGGGTGGCCACTGCTGCAGATTCAGCGGATGGCTCTAGAAAGCCCCATCATTGGTTTGAAATATGTGAGTCCCCTGTTTCCTTTGTTCTGAGTAAAGGCAGTAAATCTGTAAGGGGAAGAAACAACACCTTTGATCTCCTAGGAAAATTATAAATGTTATGAATCTTACCAATTTCTCTACAAGAAAATTTTCTTCATAGTGCTGTTGATAAATTAAAGGAGGTGGTATATAAAAATAGGCCCCTCTTTCAGGCCAGAGGCCATGGTGTTTGAGTATTGACTCTGCCACCTCTGTGTGAGCCAAGCCGTGCCTCTGTCTACAAAGCCAGTCTCAGTGCCGCCCTGGCAGAACTGTCAGGAGGGTGAAGACAGTATTCGCCACCGAGCAGGCTCTCCTGTCATCCGTGTCCCGGTCAGTGTCAGAAGCCTTGTCTCCATTGGGAAAGTAGGTGGGTCAGTAAAGGTCTCCAGGTGGCTCCGAGACCTCTGAGATTTCAGGAGCGATGGTGACGCCACCTTGGGCACATCGCCTCCGATTTTCGGTGACGTCGTTACTGATGGCAGCCCCGCCCTCCGCTTCCCCTCCCCCGTCTCTTGCAGTTGAGAACGAAAACCACTGTGATTTTGTGAAGCTCCGGGAGATGCTGATCCGCGTGAACATGGAGGACTTGCGGGAACAGACTCACACCCGCCACTACGAGTTGTACCGACGCTGTAAGCTTGAGGAGATGGGGTTCAAGGACACCGACCCTGACAGCAAGCCCTTCAGGTACGGGGCCGCCTAGCAGCCCGGTGTTCCCAGGTCGGGGGAAGGTGGCGTCGGTGCAGTGCAGAGGTGCTGGTTGGATCGAACCGTCGGGAGGGAAGCACCTGGTGGGGGCGGATTAACCTGTTGCCAGGCATGGTGGTGACCACTTCATCTGCCTCATCTCAACCACGGGGATAGTTGATGTCATTATCATCAAACTCATTTTACAGATGAGGAAACGGGCACCGAAAGTGTAAATAACCTGCCCGAGGTCCTACAGGTAGGAGGTGAAGGGGGGTGAGCCTTGAACCCCTGCTCCTAATCGTTACACTCACAGAGGCCCGGAGCCTGGTCTGGGCACTTACAAAGGTGTGGCTCATTCATGAGTTTGCCGCGTTCATTTTTGCCAGATAGGTTTGACTTCCCAAGGCTCACTCTTTTTAAAAAACAATAAAAATGTTTTTATTGATTTTAGAGAGAGAGGGAGAGAGAGGAACATCGATGTGAAAGAGAAACATCAATCGGCTGCCTCCTGC